GAAGTAGACCGAAATATCTGTAATATAAATAATTTTGTATAAAAATTAAAATATAACTAAATATTTAACACAGTTTAAAAAGTGTGTTTTTTTATTTTATTTAAAAAAACATTTTTAAAAATTTATATGTTAAATAAAGGACCTAACAAATATAAAAACTAAGAATAAATAAAATAAAAAAAATAATGAAAAAATTTTTAATATCTATATTAGCTACACTTTGTCTAACTGTTTTATTCATTTTTAATTAATTTTATTATTTGAGTTTCATTTGCATATTCCTTTAAGTTTTCAGCTCTAGTTAAAAGTTAACAACTACAATGAGCTTCAGTAAATGTCCACTTGCTTTAAATAAACTGTGTAAAAAGGACTTCTGGTCGATAATAAAAACTAAACAAAATTCTTTATCGACTTAATTGAAATTCCAATACAAAACTGTACAGAGAACATATCTGAAGTACCAAAGTACAAATTCCAAATAAACCAACCAAATGAAACCAAGTGAGACAAAGTAATGGCATTGTTTGTTTAATTAAAAGCTATTTTCAGTATTTTAAAAAGGAAACTATACAAGAAGATTATATACAAAATTAAATCGAATTCAAATGAATATTATTTCTAAAGAAGAAAAATGAGAAATTCATTTTATATAAAACAAAATTTAGTAAATTTAAAAACATAAATTTGACAAAAACATTTAGCAAATACCAAAAATATATTTTATTTTTTTATGTTAAATTTCACATAAAAACTTAAATATCAAAATAATTACTTTTAGAACATTTAAATAGTATAGCATTATATATTCATTATATAATTTGTAAAATGCATTAAATCGGTCAGAACTCTACTGTGGTACTGTGTAAGAGTAGGTCAGGTCACACACAAAGGCTAGCCTGATGCCAATCTAAACTAAACAAAATTAAACGAACCTGAAAAGCATTTGAGTGTACAGAAATGCAGCTTAGTGGCCGCAAATGAAATTTGTTCAATGCTCATCATCACCATCAGCAAACACTGTCTTCTCTAACGAATAAACAAAGCAATAGTTCAACTTAATTCACATATGTACATATAAAAAAATATATAACTAAACTGACACGTATGATTCCGATATATATCTACATACTTGGTAGTATATGACGACAGCATCAGTCGAGTTTTTCCCAACAGTACCCAACGAGTTGATTGTGGTTAAACGTACAAGTATTTCGGTTACATTTGAATTAAATTTGCCGGAAGTGGATGTGCAGCAATCGTTCCAAGTACGTAAATGAAAGAAAAAAAAGACAATTTAAAACCCAAATTGGTAAATGGAAAGAAGTGTGAAACTATGTGTCAAAATGCATATTTACAATTTAATGCATATCGACTGAAACCCTGTGACATGTATCGTTACTCTCTGAACAAGAATAATAATAATAGCTTAGAATTTACTTCTACTTAAATCCTTTATGTAAATAAAATAAATTGAAAATAGTTTAAATGAAAATAAATTTATGTGATTATATGAGTAACTTTTATTACACCTCAAATAAATTTTATTTTCAAGTAAACATTAAAATATTATATAGTATTTTACTACTTTTTCCTGAGAATTCAAACAATAATTTAAAGGTTTTATATTGGTTTTATTATAATTTTTTTTCGCATTTATCTTTTTGTTTTTATAATTAATAATTATGTATTAAAACAGAAACATATAAACGCAAGGAGAACAACGCCCAAGAAGCGTCTCAAACAGCCTCTCTTGAGCTAACGTGAACCTCAACCTTCCCTTGGTGTTCCCTGTTTTCTATAATGAGGCTTTGGCAACCGAGGGTTCGGCAGTATATCTGAACACTTCCATCTGCTGTTTAGAGGAAATGCTAACTGCACATTAAACATAAAGGCAGGGTCGGAGTCCAAGTGGTGTTCGACAAAATTTTTGAAAGGTATGAGCCCTACCACCGAACTTGGCGGCTATGAGTTAATAACTCGTGGATGCTGAAACATATCGATTCAAGTATTCACAAGAAATAGAAGCCGGCCTGATCAAAACGATACTGACTTAAAGATAACAACTATCTGTGAAGAGACTAAGTTCTAAATTTAATTTTGTAATGTAGAACAAGTCATAATAAATATAATATAAAATATATAAACGCAAATAACAGTGCATTCAAATATTAACAATCTATATATATAATTGTTGAAAGAAAAAATTAACCTTCAACAGAATTCCTAACATCCATTTCTTCATTCCTTCTTTCTATATCTAGATTAAAGTTTCAATTTGAATTAAGCTTTTATATTAAAATATTATTATAAAGAGGTTTTTTCGAACAGTAGTGAACTACAACAACAAAAAATTTTATTTTATTTTTATATTATTTTAATTAATTGAATTTTTGGCTGACCATACTGCTGTTTCGAGTATTTCCAAATACCCATTATCAGTGGTCTTGGAAATAATTCTTATATTTAATTATTCGTAAATAATTATTTTTTGATACTGCAAGTACCAGAAATCGAACTCCAAAGCCGTACTTGACTTTTTATGTTCGCATATTTTTCTGGAGTTTTGTTACTTTCGCTATGAAAGTTTTTATTAACAACTTTACTTGCTGTGTTTATATTAGCACGAAATTATAAAATATTATTCAAAAAATTAACTTTGTAAATGGCAAAAAATAGTAAATAAAATATTACAAAGAAAAGAGCTAATAATTACATGACATAATTAAATAAGAAAGTCTTAAGAAGAAAACCTTGTATACTTGACTTCCAAATACATAGACCTTAAAACCTTATTAAAGTAGTACGAAAACCACTTAAGTTGTACTTTTTCACAACCCACAAAATAATACGAATGAAAAAAAAATTTAGAATTTTCATTTTGATTTTGAAAAGAAATATTTACAACATAAAATTAAAAATCAACATTTTTTGTAACTTCAATAAAAATCGCGCAAAAGTCTAACGAGTAAATAAGAGCCAAAAATGTTTTCATGCTTTAATGCTATGCAATACTTTTCCCTAAACATTGGTTACATGTACATATATTTTCAGTTTAGGTACCCACATATACCTCCCTCTATATATATTTGGTTTTTACTTTTTATTAAGAATAAAACAAATATTTAACTTTGGTTGCGAAGAAATTCCTTTAGAATCAACTTGCCTACTTTGACTCTTAACTTTACTTAAAAGCATCCTTTTCGGTTTTGGCAGTATAAAAGTCATTACATACTTGCATATATTATCGAAACTTTTTAATTTAATGTTTTTTATTTGCTTGTTTATACAGTATACATATATTGTCAAAGAGAAGGCGGTACGTAAAAAATTTAATAGCGTAAAGATAATTTATTGGAAACTCTTTTTAAAACTGATGCAAATGAAACTACCCGTAAATAAGATTTAATGAAAAGACTGCTTTAGATATACTTAATTTTAATACTATCAATATTGGGACTAATATATATGGAGTTATACTCTCACTCGTATTTATACAATGCTTCAAATATAAATCAGAAAATTCTATTCAATTAAAATGAATTTGGAATATATTAAAAGACTGCTTTAGATATACTTAAAATTATTACTACCAATATTGGGACCAATATATATAGGATTAATACTATCACTCGTATTCATACAATGTTCCTAGTATAAATCAGAAAATTCTATTTAATTAAAATGAGTTTGGATAATATATTTTTTAAATATTGTAAGTTTACTAGAAATGGATTGAAAATGATAAGAAATAAAAATAATTAAATAAACAAATAATGAAGCTTCCGTCTAATAAAATTTCAAACATTTCTGCTTTTGAAATGTAATTAAGAAATATTAAACAATAATAATTAATCTTTTTCTTACTTGAACTTAATTGCCAAAGTAGACGATCAGCAGTCCATATTGTTTCGGCTCATATTATATTATAATATTCTCAATACACGATAGTAGCTGTTCAAAATTTAAACCGATTATCTCAGGATCTCAAAGGTTAATAAGGTCAATATCCAGATATGCATTTATCTCTTCATTCTTATTAAGAATTTGTAAGATTATATGGTCTCCGACGTGTGATTTCTTTTGTTTTACACATCTTTAAATACTTGCAGTTAATTTATAATATATCCAAATATTTGATCTTATTTTAAATTTTTAGGATTATTTAAACAAATATACCTTTGTTTAGTGACCTTCTGAATATAGTTCCTCTGCAAACTCAAAAGCAATACATTTTTTGAGTTTCTATCTAAAAACTTTTTAGTCATTGTTTTATAAAGTAACTATTAATTTCATTAAAATATTTCATATTTATGAACAAAATAGGTATATAAATAAAGTCAAACTTCCATAACTCGAAGTACCATTTTGCAAAAAAAAAGGTTTGAGTTATGGAGACTTCGAGTTAAAGAATTTTTTGTAATTGTATGTACTTTGCTCTCTAAACCCTGTTGCACTCTATTTAGTTCGTGTTATAGAAAATTCGAGGTATAGAATTTCGAGTTATGGAAGTTTGACTTTAATTCTAGTAAATGATTAATACATTTGTTTAGCATATAAGAAAATGTCGACAATTATAGTAATCACAATAATGCGTAATAATATCATCAGCAATACCTTTTAAAAGACATTTTTTTAAACTGAAACAAAAATTATTTTTTACGAATTACTTGCATTTCACAGGTAACAGTAACTATCTATATCTAACAGTTGCATAGTAACTATCGTACAATATAAAGAAAAACTATTTTTATATTTCGTATTCCGCTGTCATAATAAGTTTTTATATTTATTATTTTTATAACTTTTGGTCATTTTCCATGACATTTGCTTTATATTTTTTTGTTGAATTTTTTTATCTTTTAATATTATATATTATTATTGTGAGAATATTCGTATTTAATTATCAAAAAAGTTTAATCCTTGTTGCTCCTTCGTTGAATTACTAATTTTTTTCACATTTTTGGTCATTTTTAATGACATATATTGTTTTTATGTGTTAATGTTTAAGCCTTTGACTCAGCTTCCGATACCGTTTGTACTTCTGAGTTTGGTCCCTCAGGTTTTGGTTCGTCTGTTGAGCCCACTACACACATAGGACATTTTTCCTTTAAAACAATTCTATATTTTGGATGGCTATTAAGTTAAAATGCAATAATTAATTTTTTATATTAAAATTTAAGATTATTTTTATCTATAATAAGTTTACCTTATAGCATATACAAGCGGATTGTAAACAGCACTGGTTTTTGCAAAAGTAGCTCCCCAAATTGTAGTAAGAGGTGTTAAGCCATCGATTTTAAAAAGTCCATGGTATGTTATAATTAAATACGGTGTCCAAGCCATAAACCATAGTGATATAGTAGTCAATGCTACCTTAGCCAATTTTGCTTCAGCACTTTTCTCACAATCTTCAGAGGAACGTAATGATCGCACATTCATTTTCTTTGCTTGTTCACGCATTGCACGCTCGTGAGCCGAGACGGCAGCTATTATATACCAGTACGCATAGCAAATCAACAAAAGCGGGGTATAATATACAAAACAGGAGTAAAAGATGAGATAAGTTCGTGGATTCCAACTGCGTGACATATAATCAATGGTGCATGCGGTTAAATTACCCTCAGGTACATATCTATAAGATTTTATTGTTTTTTAAAGAATTATTTAATAAAATTAAAAATATTTAATTAATAACCTGCTCCACCCGAACAATGGTGTAATTGTCCAAAAAGTAGCAAAGCACCAGATGGCAAATATTTTCAGAACAGCTAATTTAATAGTCATTGGACGTCCACTAACACCTTTCACAATGACATTGTAACGATCTAATGCTATCATGCACATAGACCATATCGAAATACAACCAAACATTGAACCACAGACTGCATAGATATCACACCACAATGGACCCAATATCCAAGTTTCATAATAAAAATTAATAACCATTATTGGGGATTGTGAAATCATCATACAAAAATCAGAGAAAGCCAAATTTATAACCAATAAATTTGCTGGAGTGCGCAACGATTTAGTACCACCAAATATGTAGAGTACCATAAAATTACCACATATTGACATAAGTGTTATAGCAACTGTAAACACACCTAATATCTGACTCATTTTACTCTCTAACGGTGGATATCTACTCCAATATTGATTGACTAAATGAATCATATCGGGTGTAACCTGTGAAATAAATATAGAAAATCTTATGAAAATATGATATAGATACATGTTACATATATATGTAGTATATATACATGTGTGTATATACATATACATGTACATATGTATATGTATATATATGTATTACATACATGTGGTTAACTTATATATATAAATATATATAAATATACCGTATACCAAATATCGTAGAGAAAAAGTTAAATATGATCACGCATATATCTTTCAGTAATGATGTATATATAAATTTTATATATCTTCAACCATTTTTTTTACATTTTACTTCTATTTTATAGGAGTATTCTATATAAATAATATTATAGAATGCATATATAAACAATAACTATTTGTTACGTTCGCAGAATTGAAATGATATAATTATTTTTATTATTTTTAATAAAATGAATCATAATTTTTTGGAATTATACTATTTATATCAATAACATAAAATATTAATAATAATAAATAAAATATTTAACCAAAAGTTTTTTTTTAAAAAAAATATGAAATAAAGGATATGTTCCAAAACGCAGACTTGGTATTATATAGCTATGTATATAGGTGCTGAACCAAATTTTTTCAGATATTGGATGGTTTTTTAACCCAAGCTGCCGTTTATATATAAATTGATTAAAAAAAATTTGCAATAGAAGGATTAGATTTTTATAAAAGTATATTACTTTTATTATCGGTTATTTGCAAAGTTCATATTATACAATATTTTTTGCTAGTTATCACAGTGAGTAAATAAGGACATCCATTGTGACAACAATAAATACAATTATTCATTAATTTTATCACTGTGACAATTATCAAGATTGTTTTCACTTACACGATCCAACACGGATCCATTTCCTGACTGAGCTTCAAATCTTGGACTGGAAATATCCATTGACATGCCATAATAACTGTATCAAATGGAAAATTTGAAAAGAATAATTTTAAAGAAATATTGAGTACTTTTAAATAACGCACCGCTCCATTTTGAATAATTCACTTCTACTTTTTTTAATTTTACTATTATTGAGTTAAATATTTATTTTTCCGTACGTTATTTTTCACATTATTAAAAACACTTTAATGAGCTCACATTTATGCAGGAACCGTTGCTGAAACCGAACTATGCTGTTTCCCCTGGTTCGAATGGTATTTGAACTTGTGCGATGGCACTTAGATGTCCGCTTATATATGCACGGCTCTGACCAAAAACCGCCATTCTGTCATTTAAAGCACTAATTCGATTAGCAGTGACAAAGTGCATCATAAACACGAACTGCATTTGCTTCTCTGCACGCAAATTTTGATTTTCCATGAATCGCTAGTGTCAATCATATACGATTGAATATTCTGGTAAACAATTTTTTTGTTAAATTTTTTTAACATTTTCTTTTACTTTTCTAATTTTCTTTATGGTTATACAATTATACTAAAGTTGCGATACATTCGATAGAATTAATTTAACAGATACTTTTTCACATACACTAATTGAAAATCAAAGCTTATATGGTTTATATACCACATGAAGTGTATTTCGTGTTTTGTAAAGAAATTGTTGATGTTGCAATTCATCAAATAAATCAATAACTGCTGCGGTTGTCTGTAATACGTATACAGGTGCAGATGTTATAGATATGTATGAGAAATATTAGTCTTAATATTAGTTTTCAAGTTTAGTTATGTGCTATGAAAAGTTCTAATATAAGCAATATTGCTTTATAACAAGTAACTATAAGTTACAGCTATTTAAAACAAACCCTAAAGGATAGCGTAGAACTAATGCTTTTGTATTAAATAAGCCATGTATTTTGTATAAATAAGCCATCTTTAATTAGCACCAAGTTCTGAGCATATCTAATATGAAAGTAGATTTGATTTTAAGAACAGACTTTGAGAAGATTTTTCAAGGTACCATGGTACATTAGAACGAATGACATCCTCAGGGACCTCGAAATTTATCCGATCACAAAATACATAAAGGATAGAACCCTGAAATTATTTACGAAAACTGACAGGATTGCCAACACCGCGGTATCAAATCTCAGAATGGTTACAGGCCCCTCGGGGAGGTTTGCAGATATGAGGTGACTTATTTCTTAGTCTGATAAAATGATAAACAATGATTCAGTCAAGGCGTAAAGAGAGATTATGAAGAACCTTGTAAATAAAAAAAACCTTAAAATGTTAAATTTGAAATTGATTATAAAGCTTTAAAAAAATCAAATTCTTCTCTAAAACTATTTGTATTCGTAATAATTCTATTAAATTAAAACCAAATAAAAAATAAAATAAAATAAAATAAAATAAAATACGAATAAAGTAAAATAAAATAAAATAAAATAAAATAAAATAAAATAAAATAAAATAAAGTAAAATAAAATAAAATAAAATAAAATAAATAAAATAAAATAAAATAAAATAAAATAAAATAAAATAAAATAAAATAAAATAAAAAATAAACAAAATAAAATAAAATAAAATTAACAAAATAAAATAAAATGAAATAAAATAAAATAATATAAACAAAATAAAATAAAATAAAATAATATTACTTAAAATTTATTTATGAACTGTGAAGTGACAAAAAAATAATAAATTGTATTATAAATAATTATTTTATTTATCTAAAAAGTACACTTAGTGCTTAAAGTTTTTAGTTATTAATAACATAATTATTTCTTAGCGAAATACTTATATGATTAGTGCTCTTCAGATATTACAACAATTGCTGGATAATAAAAATAAGAGACAATTGAGGTTACAGTGAAAACCAGGAAAAAAGAAAACCAGTAACTTCTTTCAAACAGTGTGTGACATAAAAGTCCTATGAATATTGGTGAAATAAGATATAACATATTCTATGTTCTATAAACTTCATATAAATTGAAAGAGGAACTGACTGAAATTAGTAGATATATCGTTAGTAAATAAAATTTTAAAATATATTTTAATTTCCAAATTTTTTTAAACTTTTTCATACAGATATTTATCGATTTTATTAAATAATTATCTATGTACTTTAAAATAGTAATGTTTAAAAATAATCTAGTAACACAGCACTTTTGTATATAAAAATTTTAACATTCCTACATTTACTTTTCAATCCAGATCTCAATAAACAAATATTAAAAATGAAATATTGAACAATTTTACTTTAAACTAAGGTCAGAGGTATTTCGTTTTAATTTTGAATTTAAAACACACAAAATTAATCAGTGATTGAAATTTCAATTCAATGAGAATTAAAAAGTGCTCTTGCGAACGTCAAATAAGTGGTCAGTATGTAGAAAGCTCAATTCACAAACATCGTAGCTGTCCCAATATGGCCAATATTATTGCTGAGGAAAATGTGACAACTCCATCAAGTATTGCATGTGTTTCTAAATTGAATAGTACTAGTGCTGCAAATGTAGTTCTTAAAACTGACGTATCTGAAAAGAACTACAATCGCATAAATCACAGAGCAATGGAATCCGGAGAAAGTTGTGTTTATGACGATACTACTATTCACAAACAAAAGGATAAAACTGGAAACAATGATGCGCAAATCTCTATCAAAACTGCAAGTAATAATGACTGCTGTGGAGTCTCTAATGAAATTATTACTTCACCTACCGACGAATACCAATGTCGACTAGAAACAAATCATGAAATTTGGGAAAATATTTCTGAAAATATTTCTGATTACTTTTCTAAAAAAAGTACTATAATTTTTCTAGTCGATTATATACAAGATTATTATGACCAACTTCTATATGAAATCGATACTTTATCGAGGAGTGATGTAATACAAAAAATTAATGCATACCAGGAATTTGGTTTCTTGATACAAAGAATGAATAAGGCTCTATTACGAAACGCAAAGAACTTTGAACTAAATATAAATGATCAATTTAGGAAAGAGAAGTTACGTAAAGATGCAGAAAAAAAGAAACACGACGAGGTTAAGCAAGAATACATAGAGGATATATTTAAGCTAATTACAATTTGTGAGAAAGCATACAAAACAGGTCAATGGGATTTCGATTGTAATTTTAAAACGTTTGACAAGAAAGACCTTTTGGATCGTTAATATGTTACTTTGACTACATATATATACTTTGACTATATATATATATTTTGAAATTTTCTATGACTCTAAGATTTCAACATGACGAAAGTTAATTTTCATATGTAACTATAAAAATGTGTGAACGGTAAACGGATATCTTATAAAACAATGTACTTAACAGTAACTTTAGTAATCAAAAATAAAGATAGTGAGCTTAAAGTAACAAATTATTCATACCAAAAATTAAAAAATAAATTTTGGATAAAATTTAAATTAAAGATCGTACTTTAAATTCACTGAAACATTCGAGCTACCATACTAAAATATTTTATCTATTGAAAAAAGAATATGCTTAGGATAATTTCAGGGTTCTATCCTTTATGTACTTTTTGATCGGATCAATCTTTAGATCCCTGAGGATGTCATTCGCCGTATTGTACCATGGTACCTTGAAAAGTCTTCTCAGAGCCTGGTTTTGTGTTTTTTTTCTAGCTGGCAAATAGTAGTGTTTGCGGCCTTGCTGAACGCTACACATCCATATAGAAGTGACGGTTGAATTATTTATATAACGAATTATTTATATAACAGCTTTCTGTTCTTAGTATTGAGATTTTTTTTTGAATGATGGTTGGAGGTGATAAAAAATTTTGACACAGCCAAATGAATATAAATTTTTTCATTAATCCTTTACAAAGTATAAAGACAGACTGCCGAAACTATTGTAAATACTTTAAAGAGATATGTACAGGATATATATATATATATATATATATGCTATACATGTAACTTAACTTAAATGATATTTAGTTTTCTGTTATCTATGCTTAGCACGTATATGTATGTAGATATGCAGGGTAATATACAAAATATCATTATGCATATACTTTTTCAGTCGTTTTATTATAGTTCTTTAGAAAATAAGGCGTAAATTTTTTTATTTTTTTTTTAATGAAATTAGTGAAAAGTAACAATATCACTTCAAAAACTCCGATTGAATTATTAAATATTTCTCTGGATAAAGAACAAAATAAATGAAAAAATATTTTTTATTTTTGAATTAAGAATAATATGAAGCTACAAACAAAAATGTCTTCATTAAAACTGGTATTATAATTGAATTGCATATTTCGTTTTGATTTCATGTCATAAACTTTTATGTATATGAGTGACTGTATCCTTGCTAGCTCAAGCCTTTGACACACACAACACAGTTTTTGCATTATCTGTATTATTTTGCTTATTGTTATTGCTTTGGTGGACTAAATTGTAAATTTGTGCAGTATATCTAATCGTATTGCATTCATATGAGAGCTTGAGTATGTATATCAGCACACTTTCCAGGCACATCCTTGCATCGATTATTCAAATTTCTTGATTTCCTTTATTTTGCTTTTAATTATAATATACAAATAAGTGCAGAATTAAAATAATTTATAGAAAACAAAGAACTAAAAACTATAATAGGAAAATAAAGCTTATAAGAACTTCAGAAATGTTTTTATTTTTTTAGTTTTAATTAGTTATGATGACTTAAAAACTGTACTGATTCTTTATTAAACTTATGTATATTTAATTGTATGTAGAGAACATATTCTATCCAATCAATTTTTTACTATTTATAAGGCGGTAAATAGTATGAGCAAAGAGATCCTAATAAAGAAAACGTAAAGTTAAAAAATAATTTTTTTTACGAAATATTCGTATATCACATTTTCTTTCCTGAAAATTGCCATCTGAATGCATTTGCTGCATGCACTCAAGTGTCACTAATTCCTATGCGGCACTACGGAGTGCATTCCATCTTGCAGTTGATTATGTTGCACTGTTGCTATGTAATGACGCAGCGCAATTCACTGCCAAGATGTGCGCCGATTTTAGCGAACCGAAATAAATTTGAAAAGTTTTACTTTGATTGAATACGGAAAATGTAGATTTCTCTAAAGAGACTTTCTTAGAAAATCATCTATGAAGCTATATATGAAGTCATTCTGTTGTAACTTTATATTAAAGTTTCTTTCTCAGATAAATTGCTTAGTGCAAAACTTTTAAAGACTTATAAGTGTAAGCAAAAATAAATTTATAGCTTAGAAAATTTGCTTGTAGTGAAAATCTATAAAT